TATCACTATAGTCATGTGTAAAATTTTAATTAATTAATTGATTAATATAAAATCAAAATTTATATTTTTTATATAAATTAATTATAAAAAATATAATTATTACATCCTAAATATATAAATATTTAAATAGTACAGTTTAGAAAAATCAATTTTAAAATAAAAAATTTCCCAAACATGTATTTTAAGTGCACATATTAAGTACATTTATTGTATTTTTTATCATTACTCATAATTATTACGGAAAAATTTTATAACTACCCAACTAATATTATCCTATATTGAGGTTAATTTTTATATTTTTTTATACAAATTAATAAAATAAATGTGTAATAAATATATCATTAAAATTAATTATTTATTTAAATCATTCATCAAATGAAATTATTCTTCCATTACTAGGCAAAAAAATATATATATAATATTAGTAATTAATGACAAGATCAATAATTAACTACTAATGATTTAAATAGTTTAATGGTAATCTTCTTCTACTAAAAATAAAAGATCCTAAATTTGATCACATGCCATACTATTGAAATTGGATGAGGGATGTGAGATGATTGTGCAACGGCGAAAAAGATATTTTAACCCATGTACTTTTTGATATTGTTGAGATTAACCCGCAACTTTTTTTTGCAATATTTGAACCCGTCACTTATGTATTGAAATAACTTAACACACATGCTTTTTAGTTGAAATAAATTAGCCAAAATCTAATGTATGGCGTCATGAAACATCAGTTTATCTTGAAACCCATTTTCTGTCATTAATGCATTGCTGACTTGGTGCATGTGGGACTCGATTTTGTGACATGGGTTGATGTGGATTACTTTTTTGATGACATGGCCCTTTTTATTTCCCCAAGAACTCACCTGCTCCAAAGCTCGCGCCAATTCATTGACACTATCTAGAATAAGGAACGACTTTAAGTTTAGGGTTTTCTTAAGGGCTAATTAACTGATTAAGGGAAAAATATAAAGCAAGTTGCTTCCATTAGACAAAGAACGAAGAACAAAGAAAGAAGCATTGCTTTCAAACAAATTGCAACTTATTGTCAAATTCTCTTGTCTAGTGAAGTGCGAAAGATTTGTGGTAGACCCTAGTGGCGAGATTCCGTTGATTGTGCAATGCAGGACATCAACTTTATTAGGTCAGCCTTTTTTACCGTCTTTTGTTGGACTTTTAGTATCGAAAGTTAGGGTTTTGAGAAAGTGTTTTTTTTTTTTTTTTCCAGTGTGTTGTCTCTTTCTCCAACATGTTGTGCTATGTGTAATAAACTTGTTTTATCTGTTGAATTTTGTACCTTTATTTGCATTCTTGATATGTGAGTTTGGGTCATACTTTATATTGAATGTTTTTGTTCTAATATTTTAACAAAACAGCCAAATGGAAGAATTTTATGGAGTTTTGTTAATCAATCATGGGGGTACTTTCACTTATGGCTCACCATCACAGTATGTTAATGGGGTCTCAATTACCAAGCTTGTGGATGGGGACAGACTAAATGCATTTGAAATTGCTGATTATGTTGTTTCTTTGGGATATGAAGAAGTTATGATAAAAAACATACTGTTCAAATCACCATTAGCTTACATGGATTCCTTGAAATCATTAGTTGGGGATGATAGTATTCTTGCTCTTCTTAGAATTTTGAAGAATAAATGTGAAGTTCATCTATATGTTGATCATGAGGTCAATTTTGCTTATGTAATTGACCCTGTTTTGTCTATTAGTTGGAAAGATGCTGTTGGAAATGAGGGTGGTGGGGTTGCTGTTGATAGTAATAATAATGAGGGACCACTTGAAGTTGATAAAGGCAATGTCACAACAGAAAGGCAGGGTTTCCATGAGGACAATTTTGACAATTCACATAAGGAGTTTGATTCAGAATATGAATCTCTAAGTGACGAAGATTTGGGTAGTCCAGTTGGCATTGTTGATAAGAAATATTTGACACATTTACATAGAGCAAGAGCTTTGAGGAAGAAGAGGAGGGCTAGATCTGGAGTTGAAGAAGGTTTAACCTCCAATACTCAAGCTGGAAGTCGGGAAACAACTCCAAAATCAACTCAAACAAGATTAGATCTAACACCATCAACTCCAACAAGGGTGAAACATGTTGCAAGAAAACCTACTCCAACAAGAGCAAGGGGTGTTGCCAGAAAGTTAACAACAACATCTGTTGAGTCAACTGAGTAGCCTTTTGTGGGTGAAGCAACTCTAGTAACTAAGCAACCTTTTGTGGATGCAGCAACTCTAACATCTGAGCAACCTTCTATTGGTGAAGCAACTAAAGCAACTACATCAATTGAGCAACGTAATGTGGATGCAGCAACTGAGCTAGTGCTAAAGGAAAGGGGTAAGCTAAGGAAAATTCCATTAGAGCAACTATTTGCAGAGGAGAGAGCGAAGTATGAGAAAAAACTTGTTGTCATTAAAAGATACAAGACACTAAAAATTGAGCAAAATGATGCAGACTTATTTGGAAGGTCAATCTCTAGAGATCTACTCACTTCTTCTCAACAGTTACCTGTTGATAATTCAAAATCTTTTGATGAAAGTGGTGAAAGAGATAGCCATTATGAAGACAATAATGATCCTCGCAACTTGTGGACAAGTTCAAGTGATGTTGATGAAGATGAATATCATGTCTGCATTGATTCTGAAGGGGATGAACCTACAAACGTATACTACAACCCTTCATGGGAAATACCGCACTTTCAAGTTGGTATGAGGTTTAAGAACAATGTTGAGTTCAAGGAGGCCATTAGAAAATACTCAATTATGAGGAGATGTGATTTGAAAGCATTGAAGAATGAGCCCAATAGGCAAAAATATCATCGTAAGGCAACAAGTTGTAAGTGGAAGATTTTGGCCTCCTTAGACAATAAGGACAAAAGCTTCTGAGTGAAAAGTTACTACTGGGAGCACAAGTGTTACAAGACACGTGTAAATACGATGTGTACAGCATTATACCTTGCAAATTATTTCAAGAAACGTATCCATAAAACCCTTTTTTATAAATGCAAGACCATGATGGAAGATACTTATAATGAATTAAACTCAATGTTAAGTTTGATAAGTGTATGGTAAAGAAAATTGTGATCAAGGAACTAGAGGGCAATATCATTGAGGAGTATGGTAATGTTGTGGGGTATGCAAGGTATTTGGAATCTATTAATTCAGGAAATAAAGTTAGAGTGGTTGTTGACATGCCTAGAACTGGTGGTCCTTTGGTGTTTCAGGGTATGTATGTTTTCTTGAAAGTGTTGAGAGATGGGTGGAAGAATGGTTGCAGACCATTAATTGGGGTTGATGGATACTTTTTGAAGGGTGTTTGTAAAGGGGTATTGTTATCAACTGTTGGAAGAGATGGAAACGAGTAGATGTATCCCATTACTTAGGCTATGGTTGAGTCAGAGAGTGGCAACTCTTAGAAATGGTTTTTTGAGAATCTAAGGGTGGATCTAGACTTAGGTGAAAGACACAATCTTTACATTGTTTTAGACCAAGGCATAGTGAGATTTTGATTATGTATTAATTTTTTTACATATGATAAAATTTTATGATTATAACTAAATGTTTTTGTTGTATTATCATAGGGCCTTCTTAGTGCAAGACAAGAGGTTTTCCCATTTGCATCTCATAGATATTGTGCAAGACACATTTACTGTAATTGGGCTAAAAGAGAAGAAAATAAAGGTGATGACAAGAAGATAGCATTCTGGAATTGTGTTAGAGCCACATTTGATAGGGAATGGAAATGTTAAATGAATCAGTTGAAGGCAAAAACTGAGCGAGGCTACCAACAATTGATGAACATGGATCCTTAGCGTTGGTGTAAGGCTTTCTTCGAAGAATTCCCTCTATGTGATGTCCCACATAACAACATGTTTGAGACATTTAGTTCTTGGATTCTATCGGCAAGGTTCAAGGCAATTATTAGTATGTCAGAGTAGATGAGGAATATGCTCATGGACAAGCTTAAGGATAAGAAGTTGAGCATGAGAAGTTGGAATGGTAACATTGCTCCTAGAATTCTGTAGAGAATTGAAGAAATGAGGTAGAATGCTTTTGAATGCCATGTGCAGTGGGATCGTGAACATGCTTTCCAAGTGTGTGACTTGAAATTTTAATATACGCATGTTGTTGATTTCTACCTCAAGCAGTGTCCATGTAGGTATTGGCAGATAAATGGAATTCCTCGCCAGCATGTTATTTGTTGTGTGGATTACAAGGGTTTGGAGTTAGAAGACTTTGTTAGTGAGTTTTATAAGAGGGAAAAATATTTAGCTGCATATGGTATACCTCTTGAATGCCATCGAGGTGCTAACATGTGGAATAACTATGATGGGGAAAAGTTGCAGCCGCTTGTAATGAAAAAAAGGCTAAGTAGGCCTAGGAACAAAAGAAGGAGGCCAAAATGTGGTGAACCATAGAAATTCAAGAAAGGCAAGCTTATTAGTTTATCAAGGCATGGGAGAAAAATGCATAGCAAGTTATGTGGTAATGAAGGACATAACAAAAAGGGATGCCCTTTTAAGGATAGAGAGGCTATTGGTGGTAGTAGTCAAACCACTGTTGGTAGTCAAGCCCTTACTGGTACTCAGACCTTTGTTGCACCTTCACCAAATCCAGCTTATGTAAGTAATTTTAGTGATTTTTTATTGGAATAAGTAATTTCAATAATTTCAGCTTTTGTAAGCTATTTCTATTAAAACAATAAGTAATCCTTCACCTTCATCTTATGCCTTTTTTATTCTAGATTGCTACTACTGGAAGGAAGAGGCAGAACAATCCAGGCAATCAAAGTAAAAGGCAAACCAAAAGAAATAAATATGTTGCCTTTGGCTAGTCATCAGATAAAGGGAAGTAGAAAGCATAGGAAGAAATAAAGGATGAAGGAAGGATGAAGAACGAATCTATTGTTTTTATTTTTTCCTATTATGTTTTTTTTTTTTTCCTGTTCTGTTTTTTTTTTTCCTTGTTCTGTTGTTTATTGATTGTTAGGTCCATTAATTGTTGTGTATTGAATTTGTGTTCATGCTTTTAGTGGTTGTTGAATCAACCATAAACTTTTATGTTAAGTATTGTAGGTTATGTAATGATCTATATTATTTGTGTACTTTGACTCTGATGTTCAATGTAAAGTGAACTTATTAGTAGTCATGTGCAAGCATGTGAAATTGGTTGTGTGTACAACCTGGACAACTTGTGGAACTAACACTATTTTGGCAACAACTTTTTTGGATCCTTGTTTGAAATATACAGATAAGATAAAGATAAGGATAAGATAATATTACTGATAAAAACCTAAAAGTGTACAACCCATAGACACAGACATATTAGACATACAACAACAGAAAAAAGAAAAAACATCTAAAAGCGTTGCTCTTTTTTAGCAGCCAACTTAACAAAGTCATCCGATTTCTTTTCCCATCCTTTCATATCTTCCTTCAATTCCTTCAATTCCTGCACTTCACCCTTCACATATCTCAATTCAGCATTTTCCCTATCCCTTGAACATCTCATTCCATAATCTTCCTTCAGAATCATCAATTCGTCATTTTCCCTTGTAAAAGCTTAACTATTATCCATTGTTAATTTATATCATCCTCCTGGCTCTTTCCTTTGCTCCAACTCAATCTTTAAGGCCTCTCTTTCGCCTTTCAACTCCAAGATGATGTCAATGGCTTTACTGGACATGGGTTCATCGTGCCACTCTATAAAATTGAAGGTCTTCAACAAATCACCATTGGAATCCTATTCCAAAGCCATAATAGGTCACATAACAAACCTTCGATCGAACAGAAACAATAAAAGGAAAAAAAAGAAACGAAAAGAAGAAAATATACCCTCACCTTCTTGCCAAAGTTGGGGCACCCATAAAACCTTCTTCTTGGGTTAGTCTCCGTCCATGAAGTGTATCTCGGGGATTTCAATCCACTTTTGTAGCATCGTTGACGACCCTCATACACATACTCAGCATTCCCACGATCCAAGAACACCTTTGATCTTACAGAAATATATCGTGAATGTGAAGAAGATATTGACATTTTGAAGGCCAAAATCGATTTCATAAAGGACAAAAACCTAGATCCCCAATTTTAAGCTTTGGAGCAGGTGAGTTTTTGGGGAAATAAAGGGACCATGTTAGCAAATCAGGGGCCATGTCATCAAAAAAGTAATCCACATCAACCCATGTCACAAAATCGGATCCCACATGCGCCAAGTCAACAATGTACTAACAGCATAAAATGGGTTTCACCGTAAATTGACGTTTCATGACGTCATACATTAGATTTTGGCTAATTTATTTCAATTGAAAAGTATGTGTGTTAAGTTATTTCAATATATAAGTGACAGGGTTCAAATATTATAGAAAAAAGTTTCGAGGTTAATCTTAACTATATCAAAAAGTACATAGGTTAAAATACCCTTTTCGCCATTGTGCAACCAATATAGAAAAAGAAAAATCAATAATTAGAAAAATGTAATTGGTCTCTCCTTGCTTTGTACTCCATGGTCTCCCTTGATTTCTCCTCTCTCCATAGCCACTACTTAACCTTTACTCTTTAGATTCTTCCATGATAAAAGTTTCTCTTATTTTTGTAAATAGATTCTTGTGTTTTTTGGGCAAGCAAATCAAAATAATTTTAATTTGTTGGCAAAAGAAGGAAGAATTTAGGAAAGAAAGAGCGATTGAACAATAAAGATGAAGATGAAAGGGTAAATATGTAAAAATAAGGTTTGCTTATTATTACAGAATATTCATATTATAATTATGTTGATTGGGTTTACATTATAATTGATTGATATAATTAGATTAATTGATTTTGTACCATAGAATATTCTCTTGTACAAGTCTATAAAAAAGCATCTTGTATATTTAATGAGATTAAGAAAGAAAGAGTTTCTTTTTTCATATATCTTTATATTTTTCTTCTCTTTATTTTTTCTATGATGATGTCAGAGCCTAGAGGTTTTTTTACTATTACTGTTCATCTTCTTATGAGTTGATGCTTTACTTGTAGGTGGTGCCGATCATCATCATCTTTGCTTTCTTTCTTGGACTTATTTGCAATTGGGTTTTCTTGATCTTGTTCCTTTGTTGCATCGGCAATACGTGTTACTCCCACGACCAGTGTTGCTCCGGCCTTCTCACATCCAATTGCCATTGATTTTGCTCTTAATTTTTTGTTGCTGATTTTGCTCTTGATTTCTCACAATTGAACTTTCGACATTGCTATTGCCCAGATCTAATATTGCCTCCTTCTCCTCCAACGACGTTGACTGCATCGATTTGCATATTTAGTATGCAGATTTTTTCACCAAAAACTCATTTTCCTAGACACTTCCGCACTCTTCTTTCCAAACTCAAGCTGGTCTCCTCATCACCACCTTGAATTTGAGGGGATGTTACAGAATATTCATATTATAATTATGGTGATTGAGTTCACATTATAATTTATTGATATAATTAGGTTAATTGATTTTATACTATAAAATATTCTCTTGTATAAGCCTATAAATAAGCACCTTGTATATTCAATGAAATTAAGAAAAAAAGAGTTTTTTTCTTCATATATCTTTATATTTTTCTTCTCTTTATTTTTTTTATCACTTATATAGCCTACTATGTCATTAATAATATTTTAAATTGATTTAAAAGTGTGGTTATGTGGGCAGCACACGTAAAATCAATGTCTAAGTGGCACTGATGTGTAGTTGGGAAATGGAGGGCGATGGGTGGACATTAAAATTTTTCTCATTTATTCAAATTATTTAAGGGGTAGGTATCATAACTCAAATTTTTAATAGGATTTTTATTTTATTTTAGTTCTATTTTGATTTTTGCTTTAATTTTTATTTTTATTTCTATTTTAACTAATTTCTTTTGCTTTTCTCTTATTGTTAGGTTTATGGGTAAAAAGGGGATTTCGCAAAAAGGGTGGAAAAGAAGATGAGAAAAAGGACTCAATTAAAGAAATCAAAATTTAGAAGGAAAAAATTCATCAAGATTAATTCGCAAATCCAACACCAACCCATTTCAATTGAACCCACTAAATTATCCAAACCCAAAACCCACAAAACTCAAAACCCAAAAACCCAAAACCCACCAAAATTTCACAATTACCCAAATCCAAAACCTATAACATAACCCATTTAACCCAAAACCCAAAAGCCTAAAGCCCACCTAAAAAAAAAAAAAAAAGGGAAGAAAATAGGGGGGCTTAAATCCCTTTTTTTTCTTCCGTCAACCTTGTGTCCTCCTCTACTAATTTCTTAATCATCTACCTAGTAAAAAAAAAAAAAAAAACCTTGTGTCCTTCTCTCTCCTTAGATTTCCTTTTCTCCTTACACAGACTCCCAGCCTCCTCCCCAAACCATTCGGCAGCCATCCTTTTTTCTTTTCTCTTCCTCCTGTCATCACTGTCGCGTCTCATGGCTTCCGAACCCTTCGATCAACCCTCGATTCCTCCATTCTCGTCTCCTATTCCATCTCGCATCCACTCACCCGGACAAATGAGATCCATGCTAGCGAGTAAGCATCAGAATTGGAAAGGGGAGAGCTGGATCTGTTGATTGGTGAGGAAGGTGATGTGCACGCAAAGCTCCAGCGACTCGGCGAGATTTTGATCTCTCTGCGGCTAGACTAGATTTGCATATCTATACTACTACGAAACACGAATGGGGTGACCAAAGGCTGACGTCGGCGTAGATTGAAGGCCCAAATGCATTTTTGCAGATTTTTGTAAAAGGGTAAAGATCAAAAAGGCCCAAATGCATGTGGCAGATTCTGGTAAAGAAGAAACCGATTTGAAAAGCCCAAAAATCTTGAATCCAAAAGGCCCAAAGAGTTGATTTCTGGAATGTTCCTTTTAGGGTTTTTAGGGTTTCTTTGTTTGGGTATAAATAGAGGGTTTTAGGTTAGAAACAGGGGGGTTCTTTTGGCCGAGTCTAGTGTTGACGGCAGAGAAAAGGAAGAATTGTTCTGCTAGAAAGAGGCGGTGGTTTGGGAGGAGATTTGGGTCTATCTTTGTAGGTAATTTTTTGAACAGAGGAGTTTTTTAGGAATGGTGGTGAAGGGGACGATGGGAGCCTGATCCTGTGGGTGGGATCCCTCCCATCAGATCTGGATCTATCTTCCTAAAAAAACTCCGTCGTGGGTGTCTCTTTTATTTTGTTGATTTTCTCTGTATTTTTTTAAATTCAATGTTTAAGTTTTTATGCATTTACTGGAAAATGAATGAGAATCAAAAGTTGTTCAGTTTATTATGCGTGTTGCTTTTAATCTAAATCTTTGAATTTTTTCCTTAATTTTGGTCAAAGTCAAAATTATTTTTGTTTATTTTAAATTTCACCCAAAACTTTCATGATTAAGCAATTTAGTCCATGGATTTCAACTCTTTTCAAATTAGTCCTCTATTTTTTTTTTGAATTTAATCAAATTAGTCTCTTAACTTTTCATTTATGTTTATTGTGCATGTATGTCTTTGATTTAGTCCATGTTAGTCCCAAAAATTTAAAATTGTTTCAATTTGGTTTATCCTTTTTTTAAAGTTTGCTTTTTAAGACTTAAACATAAATATAATGAATAAGTTGAATTAAAACCTTAATGTTAAAGTATGCAACCGTGTTTAAACAGATGATTGTGAGGTGCGCGTATGCCCTTCCTTACTTCTAACTGAATCGCTGAACCCTGATTTCTACGCAAACTTATTTTTAGATGACTTGTCTTATTTTATAATTTGGATGAGTGACGACTCCCTTCCTTTTTATATTTTACACTTAATTTTTCATTATTTTGAAATTTTAAGTGGCCGTCAACAATAGGCAAATACTCATACTCAATATGTTGAGGGGCAAACTTAAATTCGATAAGGTGAGAGACAAAGTATGGACTTTTGCTTGTTTTTAACCAGATATATTCGGGGTCTTCGCGGTGTTGTTTGATTTGGATTCTACTATTTTTTAAACCAATTCAATTTAATCGGTTAATAAAATTTTTAAACCAATCCAATTCACTATTATATAATAACCAAACCAATCCAACTTAAATCGGATCAATGTGGTTCAATCGAATTAATCAATTTTTAACATTATTAAATATATAAGATAATGGAAAAATATATTAACATCAAATACAAAGCATAACTATAAAACACATTAACATCCAAATCAATAAAAACATAATAAAAGGTACAAATTATAAATAAATTCTTATACTCCTTTACATTTATAAAAATTGAAAAACTCTAAAAATTCTTCTTGGTTATATCACTAGAGGCACTAAAAATAATAAAAAATAACTTCAGATTTCTGACACAGCGTAAATAATTCTTGAATGTTAAAATAGTTTTGTTTTTCTTAATGCACTAATAATTTAATCCAATTTTCCAAATTCTGTTAAAAATAAATAAAATTTAACATGAATATTACTAAAATTGATTAGAAACATTCATAATCAAAATTTAAAACTTCTAAAATAAATATCCAAGATATCCAAGAATAGTAGAATATCAAGACTAATATTATTATATAGTTTTATGACTTTTAGAATGATATTTATTTAAAATTTAATTAGGAGAATCATAATATTATTTTAAGAATAAATTATAAATTTAGAGTTTTAAGAGTAAAGGTGCAAACCAGTTGTTTACACCTAAAATAAACCAATAGGGTAAGGCCACATGTCAAGGTAAAGCCCAATTATTAAGAAAATCAATGGGCTGGATTTGGGTTGGGCTGGCTTCCAATTTAACGGCCCAGACGAATTTCCAAGGAGGTTGGATCCTAGGTGGCAGAAGATAAGATGGAATCTGGTAGTTTGGGTTTGATTTA